ATCTGCGGGTATATATACAAACAGCACCTGCATACGCAGACCCCGTGGCAATATAATAACATTTCTGGACTATAGAGAGTATAACATTAATGCTGCTGCTGCGGTGAGTTGTTAACTACCTTTCTTTTCACTTGGTTTTTCATTGATTGCAATTTTCAGATTCAAGAACAATTGGAGATTTTTCTTGCACTTCCTACAACTGTTTTTCTGTGTTATTTGGTATATACAAAGAACACACTGAACACATAATTAGTAAATAAAAAGAAAGATATAAATTTACAAAACATATAAAATAATACAAATTATTTCAAATATGCAGTAGAACATCCATAACACAATCACATTTTCACAATCATAATATGTATTTTCCACTCTTTCGCTAAAAGTACGCAATTATTTCAGAATATTGTATCATGAAGATTGAAGAATAGTTAATTATTTTCCTACCCTCATGCAATTCCAAACCACTATGCTTGTCCGTACAACAACAGTGCATAGTGATTTCATCTGTCTAGCTCCCAAAATGTCAAAAGTAATAAAACACCAAAGCACCATAAATGTATCATTAAAGTAGTCCATATGACTTGCGCAATATATTAAAAGTCCAGTGCACAAGTTGAATGACTTTGTAACACACAGTGCAATCAAGGTATACATTTTTATAGCATGCATGCTGAACCGCAGGAACACTTTTATAAGCAGAAAAGGCTCATGGTATCTGTTGAGCTAGTGTTGCTATCTTTGAGTGGTTGGGAGTAATGTTTTGGACACACCACAGAGTCAAGATTTGTACAACTTTCAGGGTCTACTTATAGCTATCTCTGCATATTAAGCAGGGGTAGGACAAAACAAGTATTTTATAGTTTATATATTGAAAGTAAATTAATAAATAAATACTGTGATACAAGTGATTAAAAATGTTTTTTGTTACTCAAGAACAGGCCATTGTTTTGTCCTTGAGTGAAGCACTCTTATATTGTAGTTCCTTCACTTCCATTTACTTTAAAGCTTAAAGGCATCTTAAAGTAGATTATCCAAAAGGCAGCCTATCCGAAAAAGTGATCATTGTATTGTGCTAATGAACATGCAATCAGCTATAAAACTTTACAAGTACAGTTAAGCTCTACTTGTTGCCAAAATGTGTGTCAGTAATGGAGTTATATATATATATATATATAATTTTTTTTATTAATTGATTGATTGATTGATTTGGAACTGCTCAGTCATTTCCATACTATGCTACCTTTACCATTAACCTTCTAATACAGAAACAAAATTTTTATATTTATGTGAGCCATGCTTGAAGCAATTATAAATACATACATACATACATATTAAAATTATTTTACACTCACAGTATGTAAATAATAGTGTTATTTTTTTCTCCACAGATATTTTCATTTATAGTGACTTTGTGTTATGGCTGTAGCATGTTCATGGGCTTCCGGAGATGGAGAAAATAGCACACAAAAATTAAGCATATGTAACCCATTCATTACACAATGTCAACTGTACTGTTATGGACATTACACAATGTGATATTGGTTTACCACAATGTCTCTAGGGTCTTTAGTCACATTGAAGTAAAAATCATTTTAAAAACATCCAATCCAATATTTTCGATTTTTCTATTTTCGATTTAGATTTAGATTTTACCTTCTGGATGATTTTAATTTCTAGACCTAAGAAATTGTAAATCCATTTTATTTTGCTTCTGTATTAGCCATTGCTCTAACAACACCAAGGCAAAAACTTTTTTTTTTATGACAAATGTGCTGTAAACTTACACAAGCCAGATGCAAATATGTATGTACTGTAATATGCATGATGTATTTAATATAATTTTTTGTTTGTTTTTTATGTTTACCTAACTGATTAGTTATGTCATGTTTTATAGCTTTAATAAAACACATATTATATATATATATATATATATATATATAATTCCTAATAGTCGGTCAAATTCCACCAAACCAGGAAATTGCACAATGTTTACCCCTGTTTTTACATACCATCTACCATTAACCACTAGAGGGCCTACTTTGCAAAAAATATATATATATTGACATTTGGTTCTTTTGTCCCTTAACCCTTGCTTTTTTGGTTAAGCATTATAACACACTATTGTGCATTTTTTTTCACATTTTATTTAATATTGCCAAAATTATCCACAAATAAGTTTTTTTTTCTTTTCACTCAAAAGCTGAGGTGCATAAGGTCAGAATAATGAGACCTATGATCAATGAGTTTCAAAAGAAATACAAAACCTGTGGTAATTGAAATAAGCCAAGTTGCAGCTTTATTATTAGATGTATTAGAATGATGAATAATCTAGTGAAGTGATAAAGATTTCTTTCTATTAATGTAATTTCCTATGCAAATATAATTTAATTTGTGTGTTTGTGTGTGAGTGTGTGCGTGCGTGCGTGTGCTGGTGTGTTTTAATCAATTAAATTAAGCAAATGAGCTCTCGGGAAGCTATGCCCATGCTTCCCACTCTGGAGGGGCACAGCAGAACCAGTCTACAAACAAAGAAATGGCCAAGTATGGTGACCTATACTCAGAATTTGTGCTCTGCATTTAACCCATCCAAGTGCGCGCACACACACACACACACACACACACACACCGTGAACACACACCAGGAGCAGTGGGTAGCCATTTTGCTGTGGCGCGCGCGTGTGTGTTCACGGAAGTTCGGTGCCTTGCTCAAGGGACTCACCTCAGTCGTGGTATTGAGGGTGGAGAAAGCGCTGATCATTCACTCTCCCCACCTACAATCCCTGCCAGACCTGAAACTCAAACCCGCAACCTTCGGATTACAAGTCCGACTCTCTAACCATAAGAAAAAAATAGAATAGAAATTAGAAAAAAAAAAATTCTGAAAACAAATATGAAAGGTTTTGGATTTTTGGAAAATTGTCGTGTTAAAGTCATCATGGTGGGTTAGTCATCATTAATTTATAAATACATTTATAAATTAATCGATTGAGTACTTTACTAAATAAATACAAATACATGGATATATATTATCCTTATAATTGAGTACATCTATTGTACATACATGTCCCCATATAAGTGTAAGTATAAGACTATATATGGGTACATGTATATTCAAATATATTTAATCAGACTAGACACAGTTTTATGGTTTGAGAGGTCAGTGTTTCATTAATAATTGCCAAAAAATTAAATAAGGGATGAATAGAATTGAAAATGTCACACAGAAATAACATGGAAACTTGACAAACTCTATCCACATTGGCATATTACTGGCCACTGACAGTACAGAGCTGTTTTCTCCAGGGTGCTCAGAACCAAATCTATTACAAAACTTAACATAAAAAACAAAACAAAACATAAAACAACAAAACAAAACATAAAACAAACAAACAGCCATTTTATACACAGTAGGGAGACAGGGAGTATTAATCTAAACATTAATCTAAACTCAGCTTCTTTGGCTTAATGGATAGAGTAAGTAAAGGGAGAAGTCTTTGCAGCATTAGGTCTGTTCATTTGTAAAACATATTGACTAAATATCTGTTAATCTACTGATATTCTTAGCTATCATTCAAGAGTAATATTTAGCCAGTAGCAAGTATACTGTATATATAGCCATTTGCATGAATATATCACATAAAAGTTGATATGTTGACTTACAAAGTAAATGGAAAAACTAATGTCAAAGGAAGAAATGAATAACTTGTGTCCAGCACCATCTGTGTCCAGCAGGACTGGTCGAGAGATACCTTGAAATGTTTGGGCTTGGGCAACAGAATGTGACTGTAAAGTTCATTGTCCAATCAGCAGCCTGAGATTCTTGAAAACAGAGGTATTGGTCATATTTTTCTTCTCTGACCTCCCCATTCTCCCAAAAGACCATGACCTGCATAGATTTCTCAATGAAACAAAGAGCAGAGACGATAATTTTTACAAAGTATAACATCTTAAGAATCCAAAGGAAAAAGATGTCAAACAGTATGCTGAAAAAAAACAAAACATTTGCTGTCATCTATGCACAGGTATGTATGGGAAGCCATTCAGGAAATAATACATATGTATTATGTGAATATGGATTGGTTCACTGGTTGAAAGTATGTTTTAATGACAAATGCATTAGTTTATAATACATTGGTACAACCAGACATAGTTTAGATACAATGGTTTGTTCAAGTAAACATTGGTTTTCTCAACTATGTATTGGTTTAGATGCACTGGTTGACTCAAGTACATACTGTATTGGTCTGATCAAGTACACATTGCATTGTTCAATTATAGATAGGTTTGATTAACTATATATTTATTCACCTATATATTGGTTTAGATACATTGGTTGACTCAAGTATATTGTATATTGGTTTGTTTGTTTCAAGTAAGCTCAGGGGCGTTTTTGTGTATTTTCGCCTAAATTTGACATGCCCAAATTCAAATGTTTACCCTACACACATACAACGGAGGAAATGAAACAAGAAAATGGTGTCATTGTATAGAAAACCCTTTGAACTACAAAATATGGTTGTAATTCTTCATAAATAACATTATATACGTTTTAAATATTACAATAAACACGAAAAAAACATAAGCGCTTTTTGATTTTTTTTTTTTTAAGTCTGTTATTCAGGTTCTATTTGCTCTAGCTCTCTGCAACCTATATTGTTTGATTCCACTAGGTGCCAAGATGTGCCAGAAAAAAAGAATCTTTCAAATAACAGCTTTTAAACAGGAGTTATTGAATTATAACCGAAGGGAGTAAAATTGTCCCTTTTTTGCGTCTAAAAGTGTCTTTGTGAGTTTCCTTTGCAAAAACAGGTTTTATAAATCATATTGCCCCCAGAATCCTATTTTACTATGTGCCATAGCACTTTTCTTGATTATTGACTGAATTATCGATCAGACGCGAGCTGCGCCGCTAGCTCCGAGCTAACTGCTTCTGCCATGAGCTCGCAGCTGCTGTCTGGCCTTCAGAATGTGAAACAAAGAAATAGCGGTTTATAAACACAGCACTGTAATAATATCCATGTATATTTACTGAAACGCATCCTGTACTGTACTTTACTGTCAATACATCGTTTATCAGATTGTTAGCTGTGCTTTTACGTTTCAAAATAATGATTCTATCAAAAACGGAGCAAAAGCGCTCATATGTGCTCACCAGACGCGTGTCCTCTCCTCTCCACCACGCTGACCGTTCTTCATCATGTATAACTGTCATTATAATGTTCATTGATTGCCATTATCCGAGCCGCCGATGTGTTAGCTTTCCAGCGTGCATTATCGCCTTCAAAACAGTCAAAGAAAAACTACAAGACCCAGGCTCAAAACAGCTCCAGCGCCGACCCGGATCCTCTCTCTCCCCCTCCTGTTTATTGACCCAGAGGTGTCAAATTTCACGGCTCTGATTGGCCCGGCGCGCTTGAGTGGCGTATAATCTGACCTATTGCCACCCACTGAGCAGCCCAGAGTAGCCCAGAGTTGTAGAACATAAGAGCCCCCCCACGCGCGGAAGATTTGGAGAGCGCGTCTTTGGCAGAAAGAGCGCCTATTTTTTCTGGTGTACGCATCTGGACAAAACGCTATCTCATCGATGGAAGCACGCAGAAACGTGAAAATGGTCTTGTTTGAAAGAAGAGATCCTAATCTAAAAGATATTATAGAGTATATAGATATTTGTGGCTATTTGCGGCTGACTGAAGCAGTGCTACGAGTAGGAATGTAACCCATACGAAAATTTGCTTAGAGGTGTGAAATTTCACATCGCGATTCTATTGAAGATCATTCGCTCTGTGATTGTCACACAATGAAATAATCTACATAGTCAAATTCCTGAGAATGGGAGCTTTCTTGTGATATATGACTTGACTGTTTAGAGAAAAATATATAAAATACACATTCTTCGGAAAAAATATTCGCAATCGTTAGGCGGAAATTCGTGTGTGGGACGAATACATTTCTAAGCTTAATTTTACTGCTTTATGAATCCTAAAACCAAAATTTATGGTATTCTTTGTAAAGAAGACTCTCCAATGGGCTGATACCATATAAGGAAGGCTATGTAAATGAAGCATAAACATTTTTAATGCGATTTTGGACCCATATCCGGGTTCGCAGAGTTTAAGTGGTTTTAAGATATAGGTTTGCTCAAGCATGTATCGTTTGCTCAACTACATATTGGTTTAGATACATTGGATATCTCAAGTATATATTGGTTTGTTCAACTATATATTTGTCTAGATATATTGGTTTGTTCAAGTTTGTTAATTTATATATTGATTTGTAGAAATAATTTATTCAGATATGTATTGGTAAGGATGCATTGGTTTGCTGGTGAGTTGATAGGGTTATGTCACAATTTTTTTTCTTTTATTAGTTTAAACAAGGAGTAGAACTAAAAAACAGTGTATAAAGTGCAAATAATTTGCTAAAATAATCAAATATACACTCCTTAAAATATTGAATCATGCAAATTATATTTTCTACAGTGATTTCTTTGTTACTCATGTGAAATTGTTTCTACAGTAAGGGCCTGCTTTGCAAATTTGTCAACTATTTCTTTACTAAAATTGGACTTTAAAAATAAAGCTTGAGCAAACTCTAAAAAACTAATTAGGTATTTTCTTGATGTGATTCACCACTAAAGATGCTTCTTAATGCTGAAAAGTCATTGTATTTACTGGTAAAACTTTCTCTAACCACTGAAAGGCTATCATAATTGCTATTAACTCAATTGTAAATACAGCTACACTGTCCATTATGAATTTTTAATGGAATTTTTGTATTTTACTCTGTA